GTGCAGAAAAATAAGTACACCCCTACATTAGTGGCTTCTTGATGTGTTTCTTGTAATTCCTATATATAAAAAAAATCTAACTAGAATTTTTTTTTGCTCATTCCTCCATTAAGATCTCCTTTAACTGTGTGATATTGGAGGGGTTTTCTTTCATGTATGGCCCATCACAACTTAAGGATTGAGGTCTGGACTTTGACATGGCCATTCCAGACTTTTCCATTTCTTTCATCTGAGCTGTTCTTTTGTGGATTCTCACATTCTTCCCAAGCATTACTTGGTGTAATGTGAAATTCAAGTTTGCCAGGCCCTGAAGCTGAAAGCCATTTAATATTGTCATACTATTACTATTGTTCTGCTGTTAAACTTGATTTTAATATTAGGTTCGCTCTTGATGTAATGTAATATTAATATCATCAATGTTGATGTAGGGGTATACACATTTTTTCCACACAAACACGCACAAAATGGACATTTCAGTTTTTTTACATGAATTGTGGACACATGTTTTTTTTCTTTTAAATAACTTTTTAACATTTAATTATGAAAATGGATACACTGTAATGTTCAACATTTTGTTGTCAGTAAGATGTTTTTATGTTTTTGTTTCTATTTTGCCAATTTTGGCAAATATGAATTTCCAGCAGCCATTACTCCAGTCTTCAGTTTCACACGATCCCTCATAAATCATTATAATATGCTGATTTGGTGCTCAATAAATATTTAATATTATTATCAATGTTGAAAACAGTTGTGCTGCTTAATTTTTGCTTGAATTTTATTTATTTATTTTTTTTGTAGCAGTGCAAAAGCTACTTTTGATGAATTGAATACATTGTAGCTAAATAAAAGTGTACATTTCTTAAAAAAGAACAAAAACAAATTACTGATCCTTTTGAATGGTAGTATATATTGGAAGATTGAGTCATATTATAGTGAATTTTATACTGTATGATATGTCTTCATCATCAAGCATTAAACAATATGTGACATATTGACATTTTTGACCAGCCATGAATTTTATTCTAACCTATTAGTAAGAATGACCTATTTGCATGAGTCTTCTGAGTAACAGGAAAACATTTTCATAAGCAGTTATGGATGCAAATAAGGCTCGCTCGTCAAAGTGTGAATTGTGTGGTGTTACTTGTGGTGTTTCATCTGCTCTGAAGTAAAATCTCACCCTGTATTTTCTGTATCTGAATCTCGAGGAGAGTGATATGTTTTATTTATAATTTTTTTTGCCCCTTGCCTCTTTTCACCTGTGTGTAACACAGGGACCAGGAAAAATGCAGCTAGGCTTGTCGGTTTCTGACAGTGATGTCTCTTCATTCACCCCTCTGGTGGTCCTGGAGCTTGCTGATGACACTAAAGCAGAGGCCATCACTTGGTTACTAAACAGGATCAGAGGCAAGCAGCAAAATGGAGGTGAGACCCCTGGCATGTAACGTCTAGGGATAGAGGTTGACAGGAACTGAACATTTTCTGAAATATCTACTTGTCTTCTAAAGTTGTCTGTGTTTGAAATCCATTGTTTTTTTTGTTTGTTTTTTTTGGGCCTCTGTCAGTGTTACTCAACCACTGTGACCCACCAAACGTGAACCCTGCCCTTCACAGAGGTCAGGGACATAGAATATCAAATTCTGCCTGTAGAGGAAACACAAATGCAAAGTTACTTTATACATATTGCTTGCACAGACAAAAAGGAGCAACTCTGTGTCCTATTAACTGCTCAGTGCTCAATTTGTTAATTAAAGTAGTCTGACACTACAATGTTAAATGGATACTAGTTCTGTAATTGATTTTTATTGTACTTAAACTATAAAGCTGTCATAAAAGATAAAGTACTGCTGTAATATTTCAAGAAACTAGTAACATAAGTTGTTATTATTTGAAGCTGTTTTTATATGAAAATTAAGAACAGAAGATGGTTCAATGACATGACACTTGCTTATTCAAAAGTAAATAAAAAATGCATTTTATAAACAGTTACTTCAATATACATCTTCTTTGATTAGCATGTTTACAATTTCAGTTCTGTTTTAAAATCCATTTTGAGTTTATGTGATAAAATATGAAATTCCTGAAAAGATGTTTTGCAGTATCTTTTATTATATTATATTATATGCTTCACTGCCTGGTGGTAGTATGTTCCTGTGGCTCAGTGGTAGAGCATTGCGTTAGCAGCGTAAAAGGTCGTGGGTTTGATTCCCAGGGAACACACATACTGGTAAAAAATGTATAACCTGAATGCACTGGAAGTCGCTTTGGATAAAAGCATCTGCTAAATGCATAAATTATTATTATTATTTCAAAAACTTTTGTATGCAACATCAAAGTCATGTGATGTAACCAGAATGCAGAAAAAAAATCATAAAACAGGAAATGATTCCCTCAAGACTGTTCTCTGGAGGAACCTCCACCCAATCTTCTGAGACCATCACAAACATCTTTTCTTTTCTGTATTTCACCGCTGATTTATCTTGTTTACTAGTAAGTAAGTACATTTTATTTATAGAGCACATTTAAATTCAGCTTACGCTTACCAAAATGCTGTACAAAACAATTATAAAATACAGTAAAATATAAAATAAAATTGAGTAAAAATCAAAGATAACAGTTACTAATCTATAATTTAATAATCAGGAAAGGCTACAGAGTAAAGATGCGTCTTAAGTCTATATTTAAAACAGAAATAGAAGAAGCACTCCTAATGTCAGGCGGCAACTGATTCCATAACCGTGGAACAGCAACTGCAAAGGCTCTGTCACCTTTCAATTTAAGTCGTGACCGTGGAACATGTAAAAGCTTTGTTGGCAGATCTGAGAGACTTAGGAGCTGAATAAAAAAAAAAATAAGATCAGAGATGTAAGATGGGGCTTGCTCATTAAGAGCTTTAAAAACAATCAGCAAGATTTTGAATTGAATTCTAACAAGGACAGGAAGCCAGTAAAGGGAAACAAAAATTGGAGTGATACGATCACCTTTTTTTGCACTAGTTAACAGTCTGGCCACTGCATTCTGAACCATCTGCAAACGTGCCAATGAAGATTGGAAGAGACCAAGGTATAAAGAATTACAATAGTCCAGCCGTGATGTGATAAATACATGAATTACTTTTTATAAGTTATTTTTACAAGTCTTAAAAAGGAAAGTGTCGATTTAAGTCTGGAAATTATTCTCAATTGATCGTAGCCGTTTTTTATCAACTGAGCTAATTTGCTTTTCAAGACAGAGAGTCAAAGATAACACCTATTATTTTTTTTATTTTTTTTTGCATGTGACTTAATATATAGAGTAAGATTGTCTAAGTAACGGGCTATAGAGTTTCTAGTTTTGAAGTAACCAAAGATAATCACCTCAGTTTTCTCATCGTTAAGCTGGAGGAAATTATTTGCCATCCAGCATTTAATATCCTCAAGATAGTCCATGAGAGGCTGCAGAGAATGTCTAGATTTTAATGGAATGCATAGCTGAGAATCATCAGCATAGAAATTAAAATATATTTTATATTTCATAATTATATTACTGAGTGGAAGCATGTTCAGATTAAAGAGTAATGGCCCCAAAATTGACCCTTGAGGAACCCCACAGGAGAGAGAAACAGATGAAGAGAAAAACTGGCCAATAGCCACTGAGAATGTCCTGGATTTAAGATATGACTCAAACCACAGTAATGCCATATCCTTAATGCCTACCCAATGTTCAAGGTGAGATAAAAGGATATTGTGATTTACCAAGTCAAAAGCAGAGCTCAGATCCAGTAAAACGTCTCAGGTTACTTATGGGCTCACTCTCGTGCACAGGCGACGATCGCGAAAGGGAAACCCCCCCCTCAAACTCATCGGCCAGATCCACCTGCGATTCCCATAGCGACCCCTAGAGGACGCAGTTCGAAGTTCCCATGAAAGGGAATCAAAACTGCATTTTCACCAGAATCAACCACAAGTAACAAATCATTCATCACTTTTAACAAAGCTGTTTCAGTGCTGTGATGAGGTTAAATTAGATTTCCACTAAACATGCAGTTGTGTACTATGAATATTGCTGGCTCTATGACAAATTGCTTGTAATCTTCCTTATTTGTAAGGATATATTTATAAATATGAATGTAAATGTGTCAAGGTCAAAAAAGTCTCCTAAAATATCAGATAATCTGATATTTTGCCTGATAAGGCAAGTATAATAATGTTTACAAATGAATACTTTTTTGATTTTTTTCTTTAAGATTTTTTTTTTAAACCAAATGAAACCAACATAAATACAAAGAGTACATTTTTAAGAACCCCTTTAGTATTATGATAGGATATTGCCTTAGTCTATTTTTATTGCCAAATTTTATGCACATTTATTTTTTGGGGGGAATTTGACCTGGTGAAATGTGTATTTCCTAACACTGTGATTCTATTTACAGGAGCAGAGTTGTTGGTGGATCAGCTCCTGTTTCCAGCTCAGGATGGTCAGAAGTCTAATCAAAATGTCTTTGTGGTGGGCTCCACATTGCAGAGGCTCTTGAAAGGAGCTGAGGATGTAGGGTTATTTAAGGAATTTCAAGATGGGACAATGCGAGGGTTCACTTATGCCAACAGAGAAAGCTTCAAAGACTTTTATGGTGAGATTTAGCTATAACCAAAGATGAGGAGTCTGTTATATTTTGTTATTTCAACTTCATTAGTTCATTATAAAGGCTTCATGTTTATATGACTAGGTAGAAACGAGATATTGATTCTTTAAAAATACTTTATTTTAAGGACCAATTCTCCTTATTAACTAATTGCTTATTAGCATGCATATTACTAGCATATTGGCTATTTATTAGTACTTCTGAAGTACATATCATGCCTTATTCTTCATGCTCATATTTTAGATCCCTTAATCGTATTCCATTCCTAAACTTAACAACTACCTTACTAACTATTAATACTGTAAGCAGCAAATTAGGAGTTTATTGAGGCAAAAGCCATATTTGATAGGGAGAACTGGCCCCCAAACTAAAGTGTGACTGATTTTTCTAACAGGGATACAGTATTATGATACAATACAGTAACTGTATTGGTCCAGGTTGTTCTATAATACTGTTGCATTGTGCTCATAGGAGATGGTGAAGGATTTCTCAGTGATGCCGAGTGTCAATACATTATCAAACATGAGTTGGACACACTTAGGGCTAAGAATGAAGAGCATGTTCCTGGATACCCTAAGGTTAAGCTCTACCCTGGAAAATCAGTTGGTAAGTGTATGTCTATCACCAGCTGCATTAGATGAATACAGTAACTAAAACATTAAAGTTGCTGTGTGTATTTTTATTGTAAAATGCTTCTATTCCGGTTTAAAATAATCAATATAGTAAGCCCGTTGTCAATTTTTCCAGATAATTGTAAACATTTTGGCTCTTTGATGCTTTCAACATTGTTCTGTTTGTTTGTATATTAAAGTCAACTTGAAATCAAAATTGACCCCATTTACATGTTCTGGGTGTTATTCATCTGTGCATCTTATTCCTAAAAATTGTTCATCCTCATAATCTTTAATCAAAATGTTATAAATTGCTGATAAATTTGTGAAAACCAGTGCTGTTAACCAATGGTCACGTTTCTGTGTGCTAAAATATTATTGGTGCACATGTTTTTGATTACTTGGTTACTATTTACTTAATTCAAAAGTGAAATTCAGAAATGGAATTCAATGAGGGAATATTAATATTGTTATTTTTTACCGGTTTTTTACCGTAAATTTTACGGAATTTTTTTTTACAGTGTACTGTTAAAAATAAATAAGCTGAAATAAGCTAGTAGTATTTGGCAGGTCATGTGATCTCAACATGGTGGTTTATTCTGTCAAAGCCCTTGTAGAATAAAACATTATTTTTAAACCACTGACATCATTTCATTGTAGAGTACATAATTTTGAATATTTGTCAATATTATATCAGCATAAAACTGTCTTGAAGTAGCAACTTTAAAAAAACGTATAGTGGTGAACAGCTGAAACTAGATTCAAAACATTACCATTCAGATTGTCATATTTGCTGTTTAACAAAAATAATGCTTTAGTATTTTTTTTTGTTCATGTTTTTTTCACAATGCCTTTTTAATTTTTGAAGTTGAAGTTACATTTTGATGGTAAACTCTTTTCCAGTGCGGAGGTTGCAGTCTAAAGGTGTCCTAGTCCAGTATTTTCCTCTCCATAACAAAGAAGACCTTAAAAGGCTCTCGTTCTCATGGTACAAAAAGATCAAATTGTCCTTCCAGCCACTGGGTGAGTCACTCTGTCTGTGTGCGCTGGCAGCATGAACTTTATACCCAACTCCAGCCTTTATTATCAGTTTTCTGATATAACTTACTGTGAAAATAATTTCACAAGAATTTATATAAGTACAGCTGAATGTCATATTTGGTGGGTGTGTGTGATTTATATCTGTTCTCTTGAATTATTGTGGGAATTCAGATTAGTGTTGATTGCTCATTTAATGCAAATGTAAAGTGAAGCAGATTTGTACTTGCACCATCTTAAAAAATACACCAGCTCAAAGTCTGATGTTTTTGAACATTAAACACATGCAATGAAATCACAGTGCATTTTGCTATATTAATTGAAGATGTTCCCTTTGTGTCCTTCGTGATGTAGATGACATCAGACATTACTTTGGTGAGGGTCTGGCGCTCTACTTTGGATTTCTGGAGTATTTTACGTTTGCCTTGGTACCCATGGCCTTCATTGGTATCCCTTACTACCTCTTTGACTGGGAGGACTACGACAAGTATGTGCTGTTTGCTGTCTTCAACCTGGTTTGGTCTACAGTATTCTTGGAAGTGTGGAAGAGATGCAGCGCTACATTAGCATACGGGTGGGGAACTCTGAGCCACAAAAAAGCGTTTGAAGAACCGAGGGCTGGATTCCATGGAGCTCTGGGGTTTAATCCAATCACGGGCCGAGAGGAACCAGTCTACCCTAGCTCAAAGTACCACGTTTTGAAATGTTCTCACGTTTTGGAAAAAAAATGGCACCAAAATCAACATCAAACAAATATAAGCATGATAAATATGGTAAATGTTCTAGATGCTCAAATTGTTTTGACAGTGTTTGTTTTCCCATGACAGGCGGCAGTTGAGGATATATTTGGTGTCGGTTCCCTTTGTTCTGCTGTGCCTCTATCTGTCCTTTTACGTGATGATGGTTTACTTTGACATGGAGAATTGGGCCATAAGTATATACAATGAAAATCCAAACTTAGCGACTGGCATTCTGCTGTTTGTACCCAGTATCATCTACGCTGTGGTCATCGAGATCATGAACTTACTGTATCGCTATGCAGCAGAGTTTCTCACAAACTGGGGTGAGCCTGAAATTCTTCTTGTCTTTTTTCCCATTCTTCTTTCAATCAGTCAAGTCAAGTCACCTTTATTTATATAGCGCTTAGGGCTGCACAATAAATCGCATGCGATATTTAACGAGTCAGTTCAGTTTAAATAGTATCTGTGCAATCAAGTTGATGATATTGCTGGAAAATAAGTGTCCCCAACTAAGCAAGCCAGAGGCGACAGCGGCATGGAACCAAAACTCCATCGGTAACAGAATGGAAAAAAAAACCTTGGGAGAAACCAGGCTCAGTCAGTGGGCCAGTTCTCCTCTGGCCAGACGAACCAGCAGGTTGATCCATGCTGCAGCAAAGTTAGATTGTGCAGAGGGCTCATCTGGTTCCGTGGTCTTTCCCGATGGCCGTGTACTCTAGGAGACAAGGTCTTCACTGGGGATCTGTCTGGGGCTCATCTGGTTGTCCTGGTCTCCGCTGAAATTCAGGGGTGTAGAGGTCGTCTCTAGGTGCTGATCCACCATCTGGTCTGGATACGGTAGTCATCGAGTCTTAGAGAGTGTTCTAGGTTATTACATGCGGAGGTTTTAGGTCTGATAATTAACACCTCTGTTTTTTCAGAATTTAGCAGTAAGTATTTACTCGTCATCCAGTTTTTTTATATCAACTATGAATTCTGTTAGTTTTTCCAATTGGTATGTTTCGCCAGGCCGCGAAGAAATACAGAGCTGAGTATCATCAGCATAACAGTGAAAGTTAACACTGTGTTTCCTGATGATATCTCCCAGAGGTAACATGTAAAGCGTGAAAAGTAATGGCCCTAGTACTGAGCCTTGAGGTACTCCATACTGCACTTGTGATCGAT